AATATCTGCCAACATTTCTTGAGTTGAAATATCAAGAAATTACACGAAATTTCTTCAAAACTTTGCTTGGGTTGAAACTTCAACTAATAATTCACCAGAACTTGGACACTTATCTTTCAATTTAATACTGACAATTCGTCAATAACACTTAAAACACAAAAAATTCATTAACTCACTTTTTAAGTTATCCTAAAAGCACAGTAGGTATGAAAAATGAATGTGGAATTAAATATAAATACAAATACACCCTGTGTGGTCTTATGATTACAGTTTACTGTAATGACTGCTTGCGCCATCTGAAACGGCGTAAACGGCGTTGATCTCTGCTAATCAAGTTAGCCATAAATCCCTCATTTTACCCCAAACTTTTGCAGGTATGAGTAGATGCACCAGGGTTTTTAGACATCTTACCTCAAACTGACATATTGCAAAGTAAAAAGTAAATAATCAGAGGCGGCCCCGTGAATAGACGTATCATGTCACTTGTAAATTGTTGAAAGTATAAATTCAAATTCGTACAAAATAAATATCCGTATTGATAATGAAAACTTTAAGGTGAATATTCCATATGACAATTCCACAAAATGCATAAGAGTAACTGATGTAATTGCGATTGTTAAATATGTACCTATAACAAATTTGCTATTCTTCCCAGAAATAAAATATTCTTCAAAGGAAGGTCCACCTAGAACCCTATTATTTTTATGGTAAATATAGTTCCTTCAAGTAAGAAAACCCACTGTTTATATAACGAAAATTACGTTGTTTCAACATACTCAATTAATTTTATTTCACTTTTTGGAAAACATATATCTATATCGGTCGGTCGGTATCCGGGCGATTCGACATGGGTGCTCTGTTCACTCAGTCCATCGGCCGATGTGTTAGTCGACGGTTCAAGCCCCAGGCAGAACGATCGATTTTCACTTGCTATCGTCCAACCCGTGTTAGGAATCACACGTTAAAAGGTAAGAACTCGTTTGTCCTTAACTCGCACAAGTTTCGACTTCTGAGGGTTGTCGTTCATAGGGGTGCAATAGCTGGTTAACGAAAACAAAAAAAAAAACATACACACATAAACATATGACATGTGTCCTAATTATGCTTATAGTTATGCCGTATAATAATAACTGTGGATATATTTTGAAACAAATGTCGTTGTTGAAAATGTTGATTAACTTACTTCTGTATTATTATTTTACAAATTTTTATTCAACTTGTATGTATGTTAGTTATGGTTAATTCTTGCAACCTAATTTTGAAAAAGGTATCCTCAATATTTAGTTCGAATGACTGCATGGCTATAGCTGAAAGACGTCATTCTACATGCAATATGGCGGATCGTCCAAGGGGACCAATTATTTTTTTTATGTGTACTTTCACGATAAGGGTATCAAATGAAAGAGTTTATTGAAAATAATATTGGGAATGAAATTTCACTGCAAAGCAAATATAGCGCCCCGCCCAAAGTGACTCACTAATAAAATGTAAAACTGGAATATCTGGCTCCCATGATATGAGAATCTAATGAACGAGTTTGCTGGAAATAATACGAAATATAACATAACATCACTCTAAATATAGTAAGATGGACTCACATACCTTTCTACACCTGATACATTCCCATTTCGTAGAGGTTGAATAGTGAGAATTCGGTAAAGGTTAGGATTAAAGAAAATTGGGTCGACCATCTTTAGAATCGAGTTCCAATTTATATGTTTGAATAAAATAAACTCGAAATTGAATCAAACGCACTACTTAGTTTATTACATTACACAATGTAACGATTGAAGTATCAATATTAAGATGGTTTTTCTGATTATTGGAGTCGTTGATGGAATTATGCCCTCTCTTCCCTCGAATCTTGAGATGAGCGTGCCGCACTAAGCCAGAAATCTTGGCGAGATACAAAATTCTTGGACCCAATAATCACTTACTCCACGGTGGAGGGTGGTCATGGGCTGATGATGCTGGCGCTCCTGTACGAATGTATCAGGGCATCGGGTCATGACCTGACCAGCTCAACCTTCGGGAAGAAAAATTATAACAATAACGATCAATAATAATAATAATAATCCGTTGTGGGGAACGAGGGGTGCCTAATTTATTGGAATTATTCGTTCCCCACCCTCAGGCTCATACTACCTAATAAGCCTGCTCTTCTCGAAGAGCATAGCGAGGCGATATTCGTTGTGGAGTTTTCAGCTCTTGGCGAGACGAATATCGTCCGAGAAGAGAAGAAAAAACAAAAAAAAGTCGAGATTTTCTCCTCGAACTCCACAGACTCTATCCATATCACTCTGTCAAGATAGTTGTTTTGATTATAGGAGTACTTTTCCACTCTCGAATATCAAGATCATGCCATCTTGTTGTACTAAGGCAGAATTCTGAGCCGGACAATTGCAGAAAGCTGTCACTCTTGGCTCATTGCGCTTGCTTAAGGCACATAATACTCAGACCCAACGATCACTTACCTCACGGTGTGGGGAGTGGTCATGAGTGTTAATGTATCGGGACTTCAAGGGATAGGGCTCGACACTTAAACTTATGCATGAGGTAGGTAAGGTAGATAGTCTTAAATCTTCAACAATAATATTTATTATTTTGAATTATAAATACTTTCAATTTCAATTTAATTTAGCACTAATCGGTGCCCAATATTTTTGGTTAACCTGTCTTTAGCTAACACAAATAGATTCGACGGTTTCCTACACGTGATTATGCAACATATAGTTGCCCATGAGAAAAACATGGATTTTCCAAATCTAAACCACAAATGGACATTGTTTGGCCTTGAGACTTATTTATAGACACCGCGAAAGCTAAACGAATTGGAAACTGCAGAGCCTTCTGAAGGGTATGGTAGAATCTGACGGTATTATTGGAATACGTGGCAACAGGACCATTTCAAAATTTCCAGTTGAAATGGTTGCTTCAAAAATATTTCCGGGGATCTTTTTGATGACCAAATGCGTACCGTTGCATAATTGAGGTGGAGAATAATAGGGGAACCAATCTTTAACTGAAGATTACCTGCACGTCGTCTTGATTTCAAACAGGTTTGAGCCTAGCTCCCTTACCCTTTGGACAATCGAAGATTATGTGGTTGCATTCCAGGTTATGCTATTGAATTGCAGCTTGTATGACACGTTTGTAGGTTTAACATAGCGACGCCATCTATTGACTACTTACTCAATCCAGTCAACAAATATCGCCATCTGTTGAAATCGTTTGGAGTTGACAGATAATTGGTGAATGGCAAATAATAGACAAATAATTTGATATAAAATAATATTTCGACTATAAATTAAGATGTAAGCTATCCTATCTTGCAAGTTGGATCAAACTGCACA